GAGCAGCTCAGCCAGGAACCACACACACACACACGCACACACACACACACACACACACACACACACACACACACACACACACACACACACCATTTCCTAACGGTAACCTAGCAACAGGCCTGGCAGTGAGGGCAATGAATGAATGTGGGGTTGGAGGAGGCAAAGCGATGGCAGTTTGTGTGTGTGTACATGTGTGTGTGTTAGAGGCCATGATATTTCACACACTGGGTCACTTGCACATGTGAGTCCCTCAGATTCAGACACACACGCTGAAATAGACAGGCTCACACACACACACTCACGCAGACGGCGTCTCGGTTACTCAGCGTTGCATCAGACACTGAATATATCTGACAGGCTGAAATCACCTCGGCGTGCTGAAAGTCTCTTGTTCTCTCCCCGTCTCTCTTGTGCGTCTCACATCTTTTGTTTCCTGTTTCATCGCGCCGACTCCCTCGATTTCTTTCACCTGTGCCAAGTGTTCGATAATTCAGCCTTTGGAATCGTCAATAACTTTAGGAAAATGTCAGTTTTTTGCTTTAAAGCTGATCTAAAAACCAGCCTGATGATTCATAGCGTGCTAACAATGGCAGTCACATTTTACCGAAAGCTGACCTTGGATCTGTCGTTAACGATCCAATCGAAACCTTTCTAGTCAGATGCCATTTTAGTAGATGTGCTGTGAACCGACTCCAACCTTCACCCACCAGCTGCCATTAAAAGCTCAAGTGTACACCAGCCTCCCTTTAAAATATGATAATTAGTTTAGTCTCCACTGTCTCCCAGTCAGTTCTATGACAGACAGGCAGGAGTGGAAACCACAAAGCAAAACTGTCCATTAATGTCGGTGTAAAGCTTGATTCACGCTCTGATCGGTCTCAATAACAAACAATGCGTTCGTACCTCCACACGAGAACATGTGCACAGCTCTAAACTCTGAGCTGGCCTAACAGTCGGGGAGAAACCTGACGAATGAACACAACTCACACGCACCTTTCCTGCTGTCTCTGTTTATTTACGCAGCGAGAATAAAAATGATTAATTACACTGAAGCATCTTTTACAGCAGGTGTCTAAATCATTTTAGCTCGGGGGCCGCAAACAAACAATTTGATCACAAGTGGGCTAGACCACCACAACTGCTGCATAATAACATACAGTACTGTGCAAAAGTCTTGAGCCACCACTCATTCCTTTATATTCTGCAGGAGAATGGATGCAGTAATGCATGGAAACATGGAAAGTCATTTGGTATGACCGCCTTTACCCTTCAACACGGGCTGAACTCAGCTTTTCAATCAGGAATAATTCTCAGACATCAAAGTTCTTCTCTGGGAGTTTGTTCTGTTCTCTGTTAACATCGTCCCACACTGCTTCAATAATGAGGCTCTCTGCTTTTCTATTCATGTGTGTTTTTAGTGCATTGTCTCTTTGGGGTCATTGTTTCCAGATGGTATTGTATCCGATCGCACTTTTATATGGAGAAGATCTGCAACACCATTGGATGAAATGCAGCCTGAGACCATGACAGACCCCCACTGTGTTTTCTAGATGGCTGTGGACTGTAACTGTTGGACCTCTCTCCTGATGAGGCCTCAGTAAACAGTGCAAACACTGAATGTCCAGATACATCGCTCAGGTTCTGTGTCAGATCTTTGCTGGATTTTTTAACCATTTCTTAATGACTTCCAGCTTGTTTATTCACTGTAGATCATTTTCAGGCCTTCTCTGTTCTACACGTGTCCAGTTTCCTCACGCTTTTAA